TACTGATAAATCTCAAAAAATTAATTCAGGTGAAAAATGTTAAATGCCGATGTTGATTCTTTTTTTGTGTGTGAAAAGTTTTGTTAGATTATTGCTGATCAACTGATTGTAACGATAGAAGAATTACAACTCGGTTTTAAGCTCCAATGATGTCCTCTGATTGATACAAAAATAGTTTATTTCCAGCTATGGTTATATTTTCAACTATAATTACAAATACCAATTTACAGAAACCTAGTTTGATATAAACTTATTCATGGACAATACTTTAACACATGTCCATAAAACATAACATAATATAAATCGAGAAACGTTGATAACTTTGAATCTATTGATTCCAATAAGATTTTTAATCAAATAAAAGACGCAACTCAATGTAGACATTTTTGGTTAGTGACATTTTGTTATTTAGGAAACTGTCAATTTTGTTAGTTTTTAGGTTCTTACTTTGCCTCATTTTTTTTTCTTATTTTTTTATTAATTTTTAAACAAAACTTAAGTCATTGCTTATATGACTTATTGCAGCTTTTTGACGGCACCAACTTACTGTGCCCATAATAAGCTTTTTACGTCACCCAATATTTTTACGTCACCCACATAAGCAAAAATTTTAAGAAAACACCCTGTATTCAACAAAATTTTTTTTCATCTATAATAACCTCCGTTCTCACATTGCAAAATTAGATAAGAAAATGAGACAACATCAAGCCAAGCTCTAATAAATTTTTCTTTAAAGTTCCGCTTGTTGAGACGGGTACAGTAATTACTCAATGATGCACACGCCTTACCAAACCAAAATATTACCGTTTTTTGGGTAGGTTGCTTTTTGGAGTTGGTTTTGGTGATGTTTTTACCTGTTCCACTGATGCTTTTTAAAGGAGCTTATGTAGAGCAAATACTTCTCATCACCAGTGATAGTATGATCAAGCCAGTTAACTGTGCTTTGCAAAAGCATTAAAGGTGCATGCAGGTTTTCACTAGCTGATAAAATCTGATGTTTTCACTAGCAGATTTCAGTGGCAGGCGCAGTAGCAGATTTCAGTGGCAGGCGCAAATGCCTCAGATGCTAAAAGATCCAGGGTTCAACGTTACCTATGGGCAAGTTTTATAACATTGGTAAAGAAATGGCGCTAACTTTTTTTCAAATGCTCTTCCGCGGTGTTATGTGATAAAATATTCATTTGAAAAGTGCAATTCTCCTAGCATTTCTATAAAACCATTAATCAACTTTTCGAATCTAATTACTATTATTTATTTTAGCTTTATAAACGCAGAACGCAAAAACGCAAAAACGCAGAAATCGTCATAAAACTAACAAAAAAAACTTAGTAAGTAACCCTCAGGCGGATCAAAGGCTTTTCGGTCGTTCGAAATTAACTCCGAATACATGAAAGGCAACAAAGTTTTTTCTGTGTTCAAGCTATCAATCAAGGATGTATTGCAAAAAGCAACACGAGCCCAAAACGCATGAAAACGAGCTGTTCAAAATAAGAATTTTCCAAACTCATGTACTAATTTTTCATTGATTCAAGCGTTTATCTGTTAAGAAAGTACACGTTCGAGGTAAAACTTAAAACCAAAGAGTTTTAAGTTCTACCTTTTATAAAACTTAAAACTCCGATAAGTTCTGGAGTCGTTTTCGTTCACGCAAAAATGTTTTTGACAAATGTGTGGCTATGAAAATAGCCTTTTAGTTTTAGTGCGTGATCGCGTAGCTCCCACTCTTTACTTGGCTGCTGCTGGTTTTGGAAATTTTTCGTTCTTCTTGGGCAGCAAAACAGCTTGAATGTTTGGCAGCACACCACCGCTTGCAATGGTTACACCCGACAACAGTTTGTTTAGCTCCTCGTCGTTGCGAACAGCGAGCTGTAAGTGACGAGGAACAATTCTGGCTTTCTTGTTGTCTCGAGCAGCGTTAACAGCCAACTCCAAGATTTCAGCGGATAGGTACTCCAAAACAGCAGCCAAGTAAACTGGAGCGCCTGATCCGATGCGGTTAGCGTAATGACCGATTTTTGCGTAAATATCGATGAACGCGACCAACGGGAAACTGAAGACCGGCTCTGAAAGATCGTGTCTTTGCCACTGATCTCTATAATAACTGGATAGCGCATCTCTATAATCAAAAGTGAAGCCAATTTTTTGTACGGCCGCCATATTGGAAAGCCCCAGAATACCGAAAATACAGTGATTGCGCTTGAAGATGTACCTTTTTACTTCGTTTATATCTACTCGACCAAGTCACATATTTCAATGATATTATTATATTTAAAACGTTTGAAGGTGTAAAAATTATAAAAGGGAATCAAAAACACGCAAAACATTAACGACGAAGAGAAATATCGCTATAAAGAAATAATAAAATTTGTATTGCTTTCTATGAACTTGTTAAATTTATTGAATTTTTTGATATTCTAAATAAAACTTTTCTGAAAGACAAATTGATATTTGATCTGGTTACTTTTGGGTGTTTATTTTAACAACTTGGTGCGACCTTACTTAGCAATAGTAGCTTGAAAGTAACTTTACAAGTATAAAACATAATAAAAACATTGGATCAATCATTTTTGTAAATGGTTTTCTAATTTTTGAAACTCTGAGGGCATGTTTATATTGTTCGACAACTGAAATATCATCAACTATGCAATACTTTATTAAAATGAATATCACTTAATAACAATGTTTTGTTCTGTTGCTTTGCTAACTTTTATTACATATTTGGTGATAACTAGTTATTTGCAGTTTTACATTAAAGTATTTAGTGTTTTAGACTAAATAACAGCATCATATACATGTTGATTGTTTATATGTAAATATGATATAAATGAAAACAGACAGGGTTTCTTTCAAGTTTTTTTAAAACTATTGACTCTGAAGTAAAATAATAATGATTCAGCTAACATCTATCAGTTTTATACTGATAAATATTAGTTGTATAATTAATAAATATTAAAAATATTTCTTGTGAAAACAAATTAACAACATAAAAGACCAAAATGAAAGGTGAACAATTTTTTTCCTAAGTGTACATACTTTTTTACTTTTCCCTACAACATAATATCTTTTTATTCAATGTTTATTTTGTTAATCAATGCTTACAAAAGTTATTTAATGATTATTTTGTTCAAGATGATAGAGCTAACTATTATTTTATTTATATTTTTTTACTTTAACATATTCTTTTGAAATTGCAATATCTTATACAAATGTTCTGGTGTTTTGAAAATGTCTAATGGCATTTACAAAAATGTCTTGAAAGTATTTTTCGACAGTTAAGCGTTAAGTTAATTTATATATATATATATATATATATATATATATATATATATATATATATATATATATATATATATATATATATATATATATATATATATATATATATATACACACACACGCGAGATATAAAGATTTGCTATATGTTGCCTAACGAACCTTTAGGTTACAATCACATTGCCTAACTAATGATTTATACAGCAAACTTGTAAGCTGTTTACCTTGCAAATGTGTTACAAGCATCAGGCATTTTGCAGAGGGCAATTAAGAATCAAAAGGTGCATACAAATATGCACTTGCATGCTATTTAATAATATTATACCAGGGTGGCCAGCCAACTGGAAATCAACGAAAAGTCAGGGAATTTTTTTCTAGTCAGGGAAATCAGGGAAAAATGTCTTGAAATTTGAAAATTTAATTTTTTTTAAAGGGTTTTTTTTTACTTACTCCCAAACAACAAAATTTAAAAATTCACACTTTAAAATATAACTGAGTCAGGGAAAAATATAAAAAGTCAGGGAACTTAATTGTTGAAAGTGGCTGGCCACCCTGTATACATAATTTATATATACATATATATATATATATATATATATATATATATATATATATATATATATATATATATATATATATATATATATATATATGTATATATATATATATATATATATATATATATATATATATATATATATATATATATATATATATATATATATATATGTATATATATATATATATATATATATGTATATATATATATATATGTATATATATATATATATATATATATATATATATATAAATATATATATATATATATATATATATATATATATATATATATATATATATATATATATATATATATATATATATATATATATATATGTATATATATATATATATATATATATATATATATATATATGTATATATATATATATATGTATATATATATATATATATATATATATATATATATATATATATATATATATATATATATAAATATATATATATATATATATATATATATATATATATATATATATATATATATATATATATATATATATATATATATATATATATATGTCACTCTCCATGAAATAATCTGAACATATAACATCAGATTTACTCTGTCAAGCGAAATCTGTGTTTTAAGCGCACTTATGTTTAACGCAACTACGCATTTATAAATTCTAGGGCTTTCCAATATGGCGTCTTTTGGCTTCAAAAATTTCGAAATTTTATTAGGAGATGCGCTATCCAGTTATAATACAGATCAGTGGTCTTTGCCTTGGCTTTAGCTTTACCTCCTTTACCACGTCCTGACATTTTTGATTTCTTTGTTGTTTACACGAAGCAACAGACAAAATTGTGAAACGAGTTTATTTTGAAGTAGCTCTGAATCGTTTGTCTTAGTTATTTAAAAGTAATGCTCTCAAAATCGACAAAATTTCGACGAATAGAAAAACAGCGTTTTCCGAAACAATGGTTTGGCGCGAGCCAATCGATTTCCCTTGACCTGGCAATCCTTTTTTGTTTTCAACTCAAGCCTTTGACGAAAACAGTGAGCGTTTTTTCGGGGGTTTACTCGTAATAAAGTCGTGTTTGTAAACATGTACGTATACGGGATTCGTGAACAACGCAGGATTTTATCGCAACGAACAAATCCTTGTCTGTTCTATGCCTATGCTCGTGTTTTTAGAAAGATGTGTGGCTATGAAAATAGCCGTTTAACATGAAAGGGCAAGCCGAACTTATTTCTTTTCGACTTTGGCGGTGGTCTTCTTCGCTGCGACTTTCTTCTTTGGAGTTGCTTTGGCTTTCTTGGCAGCAGGTTTTTTTGCTGCCAACGGCTTTTGGGCGCTCTTTTTCGCTGGCGTCTTCTTAGCTGCTTTTTCTTTCGGTTTTTTCGCTTTTTCTTTGGCTGCTGCTGTCACCTTTTTAGTCGGAGCGGCTTTCTTTTTGGGCGTGCTTTTCTTCACTTCTTTGCTTTCTTTCTTGACTTTTTTAACGGTTGCAACAGGACTCTTCTTCTTAGCCGCCTTAGGCTTGGCAGCAACTCTAAACGAACCGGATGCGCCAACACCTTTCACTTGTACCAGCTCACCGGCAACGACCATTCGCTTAAGATTGATCTTCACTTGCGAATCGACATTGTCGCCTACCTTGTTGTTGGCTTTAACGTGCTTAGCGATGGCTTGTCTGGACGATCCTTTGCGTTCTTTAAGCGAGTTGATGGCATCAACAATCATGGCCTTGTACGGAGCATGATCGGCAGGCTTTTTGGGAGCCGATTTCTTAGCGATCTTTTTAGGAGATGCGGCTTCACTCATTTTCTAGTAATCACACAAACTTTGCAGCTTAGCTAAATTTTTCTTTCAAATGTTTGCATCGCAAAGTTGTTTTTCTTTTTCTAGCCGAGTTTGTGCGGACTGTAGAGGACTATCCAAAAATTTCAGCTACTCCGTCGAGCTGCAAATTGTGTTTTCGTGTCTACAGGGAGACGTCCAGCGTTCACGTAGCTCTACTGCTAGAAAGTGCATTTCTTCGAAAAATCTTCTGTAGAATAGTGACGCTCAACAAACTCATTCGTTTCCGTTCGATAGCGTTTCGCTAGCGATAGATATGCGCTAAAAAAGACAAAAATGCGCTCTGTCAAAAGCAAACTAGCGTGCGCGTCAAAAGAAAACCGAGGTAAAGTTGACCTAAATCAAACCAAATTTGCTTCTAAAGATAGACAAACAACACGGGGAGAGGAAAAACCAACGTTTTACGTTTGCCAAGCTATAGACGTTGCTTAGACAGCAGAGAAACAAGCGACACAAACACGCGCCACAGTGAGAAAAATGATTCGACTTGCATCACGTGCGTCAGTACTTTTACAACTTCTTGTCACCGCTAGGTGGTGCGTAAGCGGAGTACTGTTCATTTCGCCGCATTTGTTTCGAAATTGCGCTGATATTCATTTGCTTGGCAGTTTATCGAAACATTCTGCTAGACCGATGTTAAAGTAAACTGCCGAGACGTTTACTCGCTAATTTTTTTTTTTTTTTTTCTGCCGCATTACTTTTAATGCAGCATTTGTTATATATGTAAAAGAGAAATGCCATCAAACAAACAAACAAAAAATAAAAAATGAATGACGTTATCCGTGTGTTTTTGCGAAAACCAACAACAAAAAACAACACGAAGAAACAAACAATCATAAAACATGACTATAACACGAGTTTTGTTTGTGATTCTTTTAATGTTGTCGCAATCACGGTGAAATGCGAGTGAGGCACTCGGATACAAATATATGACAGTTGACAAATCAACACATGGAGCACGGGGACACGTCATGTTTAGAACTTTTTCGTCATTTTCTTTAGCAAAAACGACGCTTTCGAAACAAACTAATGCTATTAAACTAAGGCCTGCAGGTCACCTTTAAACTTTAAAGCCAAAAAACATTTTTTTTTTTTGCCATCGTTTTTTTTTTTTTTTGGCGATCGCCACAAATACGATCACTAGTGACAAAAATGAGCTTGTTTGCGGTGCATAATTAGTTTGTTTCATCATTGGGAGAAACAAAAAAACGGGAAAAACAAAAAAAAAAAAGAAATATGATAAATGACTACAGATGCAGAAGTGACTGTTGTCAAATGTTAAAAAGCCATGTTTGGCGATCAAACTGTTTTTATCACTTCGTAAAATGTGCAGTCTATCGACTAACAAGTAACTCTGTAGCAGATCAGAGACATTTTTTTTCGTTTACTTATTTCGCCCATTTGAAAGTTAGTGATCTAATCTCGAAAAATAGGCCACCCATTTGAGAGCAGGCGATCTTGTCGGTTGTTTTTATCATCTGGTAAAAGAACACTTTATGGACTAAAAAGAATCTCTGGAGCGGGTGCAGGACATTTTTTCTGATCACACATCTCACCCGTTTGACACCTAGCAATCAAATCGATTGCTTTTATCGCCTGACAAAAGGACACTTTTTCGACTGAATATGTAACTCTTGAATGAATTTAGAACTTTTTAGTGTGTTCACACGTTTCCACAATTTGACCGCGTGTGATCTAATCGGTTGCTTTTATCAGCTGTATCCGAAAAAGAAACTCTGGATTGAATTTAGAAACTTTTTGTCTGCTCACCCATTTTACCCATTTGACGTTTTATTACCTGACAGCTAGTGATCTAAATGATTGTCTGATGAAAGATTCCTCTATGTACTGAAAAGATACTCTGCAGCGGATCCGGGACTATACATTCAGTTCTCCCATTATTATTTTATTATCATTATTATTATTATTATTATTATTATTATTACCCAGTCGACAGCTAGTGATCTACTTGATTACTTTTATCATCTGAAACAAGAGCCAAAGAAAAGCTATCGATTCAATAATCAAACTTGAGCGCGTCAATCTGTTCATTTTTTTACTTTTTGAGATAAAGCTATACTGTGCACTGAAATATTGGCAATCTTTATGACGGTATCAATTAGGCAGATAAGAAAAAACAAACAACTAATTGGTGAAACAAACAAAAAATCGGTTTCTTTCTGCAGAATTTTGTTAGCGCAACGCATAATTATTATTGGCAAAAACGCAGAAATCGTCATAAAACTAACAAAAAAAACTTAGTAAGTAACCCTCAGGCGGATCAAAGGCTTTTCGGTCGTTCGAAATTAACTCCGAACACATGAAAGGCAACAAAGTTTTTTCTGTGTTCAAGCTATCAATCAAGGATGTATTGCAAAAAGCAACACGAGCCCAAAACGCATGAAAACGAGCTGTTCAAAATAAGAATTTTCCAAACTCATGTACTAATTTTTCATTGATTCAAGCGTTTATCTGTTAAGAAAGTACACGTTCGAGGTAAAACTTAAAACCAAAGAGTTTTAAGTTCTACCTTTTATAAAACTTAAAACTCCGATAAGTTCTGGAGTCGTTTTCGTTCACGCAAAAATGTTTTTGACAAATGTGTGGCTATGAAAATAGCCTTTTAGTTTTAGTGCGTGCTCGCGTAGCTCCCACTCTTTACTTGGCTGCTGCTGGTTTTGGAAGTTTTTCGTTCTTCTTGGGCAGCAAAACGGCTTGAATGTTTGGCAGCACACCACCGCTTGCAATGGTTACACCCGACAACAGTTTGTTCAGCTCCTCGTCGTTGCGAACAGCGAGCTGTAAGTGACGAGGAACAATTCTGGCTTTCTTGTTGTCTCGAGCAGCGTTACCAGCCAACTCCAAGATTTCAGCGGATAGGTACTCCAAAACAGCAGCCAAGTAAACTGGAGCGCCTGATCCGATGCGGTTAGCGTAATGACCTTTGCGTAAAAATCGATGAACGCGACCAACGGGAAACTGAAGGCCGGCTCTGAAAGATCGTGTCTTTGCCTTGGCTTTAGCTTTACCTCCTTTACCACGTCCTGACATTTTAGATTTCTTTGTTGTTTTACACGAAGCAACAGACAAAATTGTGAAACGAGTTTATTTTGAAGTAGCTCTGAATCGTTTGTCTTAGTTATTTAAAAGTAATGCTCTCAAAATCGACAAAATTTCGACGAATAGAAAAACAGCGTTTTCCGAAACAATGGTTTGGCGCGAGCCAATCGATTTAGCGCGCCGCATCACAAATGGACTCGAATTGGAGAGCACAACTCTGCAATAAATAATTTAGGCGTTCAACTGCACGCCAGAATTATTCGATATTCAATCTCACTGTAGAAATGTCTGACGCTCCGAAAACAGGAGGAAAGCAGGCGCCCAAGGTAGCCAAAAAGGGTGAAAAACGAGCTGGCAAAAAAGGCGGCAAGATCGCCGGTACAGGAGATAAGAAACGCAAGAAGAAGAGACGCGAGTCCTACGCCATTTACATCTACAACGTGTTGAAGCAAGTGCATCCCGATGTCGGAGTTTCGTCTAAAGCGATGAGCATCATGAATTCGTTCGTGAACGACATTTTTGAAAGGATCGCATCTGAAGCTTCGCGACTCGCCCTTCAAAACAAAAAGTCTACAATCTCTTCGCGTGAAATTCAAACCGCCGTACGCCTCTTACTTCCCGGTGAGTTGGCAAAACACGCGGTGAGCGAAGGCACCAAAGCTGTTACCAAGTACACGAGCAGCAAGTAGACGTGCTACTACTAAAAGGCTATTTTCATAGCCACAAATCTTTTAAAAACGGCGTTGTGCGCATTAGAACAAGACAGCTTGTAATATAGTGTAAAACTAAACTATATAAAAAGTATGTTTCTCGCCCTTCTTTTTAAAAAAATGACTTAATCAAAGAAACAAAATTCAATTCCAACCAGAGGCAATCCCTATAGCCCTATACTTTATATGAAAGTAAGCAGAGAAACACGACATTAAATAATAAAAATAATCTGAACAATAATAATAATCTGAGTGTATATTGAAATTTGGTCAAATGCAATGTTCTTTTCAACAATTTTTCTAGAAAATTTGATGACGTTTAGAATAATAATAATCAACAAAAACACAACCGATGCTGACGATTTTTTTTTTTTCTCATGCATTTACACGATAAAAAAACATTTTTCCAGTGTAAAACTTAAAAGCCTATTACTATTAAGTGTAATCAATTTTATATTATCTCCCTAGAAGTTATATTTACCAACGCCTAAAACTGTATTATCTGATTTTCAAAGTTTCATGAACTTACGCCAACACGCTTCTCTAGTTACATTGCATTTGTTATTAGTAGTTTTAAACTTAAAACGAGTTTGCTTAATTTGAGTAAGTGTTGTTGAAATCACAGCCTCTATAGGTTTTTTTTTTCTACATGTATACAACATGCCAAATAAAACGTTTTCAACAGATTTGTGGCTATGAAAATAGCCGTTTTTGTTGCTGGAGAGCTTATCCGCCGAATCCGTACAATGTGCGTCCTTGCCTCTTTAGAGCGTAGACAACATCCATGGCGGTAACAGTCTTTCTCTTGGCGTGCTCCGTGTAAGTCACAGCGTCGCGAATCACATTTTCCAAAAAGACTTTCAGAACACCTCGAGTTTCCTCGTAGATAAGCCCTGAGATACGCTTGACTCCACCTCGGCGAGCTAGACGACGTATAGCGGGCTTTGTGATGCCTTGAATGTTATCGCGCAATATCTTGCGATGACGCTTGGCACCACCTTTGCCGAGACCTTTTCCTCCTTTACCACGACCAGACATGTTGAATTGTTCAAGTTGAATGCTAACTTCTGGCGCGATTTCACTACTTTTTATTGCACGTCAAAGCTAACCCGACATAGATGGAAGCAATGCGAACACGTTGACTGCGCAAAAGTTAAGGCGCGCATTTTCATTTGTTGTGTACGTTCACACAGACATTTTCATTGTTGGATCAGCTAATAAATTCTATTAAAGAAAAGCGAATGGCGAAAAAGAAAATATT